CCGCTTTAGGACTACAGAGCATCCGAAAGCCTGAGTATGTTCGGAGTGAGCGTTGCGGTTGGTCACCCCTCCCTTGCACCTCATGAAATGCTCCTATACTACCAAGCGTCTCAAATAGACTATGCTGAGGAAGCCCCGCTTACTGCCTTCCCGTGGCGGAGGTGTTTTCCCCCACCAAAGTGAGAGAACGAAAAGCAGAAATCCGGAGCCATTACCGGGTCGATGAACCACTGGCAGTTCACCTAGGGGAGATGGCTAAAACCTCTGATTCCAAACCAACGAAGAACAGGCGTACGAACCACCCACACCTTTCTGGTAGTGATAGAGATCACCCGTTCGATTGGGAATCAAGGTGAATGGGGCACCTTGGACTTTTGACCCCATACGAAGGGTGTATGATCCGATGAACTGGACACCGGCCCCCAATGGACTGCGGACTCTAAGCTCCGTTCTGCTGTCTTGCAGAACAGGCTTTCTAGCCAAAGGCTTCGGGTGGTGACCCTGAGGTTATCCCACTTCTTCGGCCAGGGCAACCGGGAAGTAACATACCCACACAAACTATGGACGAACATTATACATTTCCGAATTTTTCGCTCTCAAGAACTATGCGCTCTTTGGCCGAGGTGCTGGTGGTCGGCTCCACAGATTTCAACGTTACCACACCAATAGATCACGTTCTTTTGCTTCCTGAATTAATGAACTTTGCTATTCTCGGTTTACCACCCATTATTTCGAGTCTCCAACGGTGTGCTGATCAAGACAACGGCAGAAACCATAGCCCTGTGCCTATGCAAAAGAAACAAGCATCCCCTTAGGTTATTCCGAAAACAGTACTCGCGCCCCCGTCGCAGCTGAAGTTAGCAACTTTTTATGTTCGAACAAGTTGGGGCTCAGGCCACAATCGCTCACTCACCGGTTTCGGCGTGTTCTCTCCAACTTCTTGACGTTCATCGAAGCATCCCGGCGGTGGTGGCCCGGTGGTAACGTCACCAAATTATCACCCCGGGAATGTGTTCAAATTTCACCACCAACGCCTAACTTTCCCCATTGTGTGTTGAATGGCATCCCTTTTATTGGTTGCTTTTCTCTTCCTGAAAATGTTATCTTTGCATATTCAATAAAAGGAAGTAAAATTACAAGAAAAGAAAAGGTAATAAATACAAAACAGTTTGCAGGAATCTCAGTGCTGAACTGAAACGGTTCCTAAAAGAGGATCGAGAGACCTGGTGGACACAACACGCTTCCGAGATGAAACTAACCTCTGCTTCCGGTAATGTTCATAAACTCTTTTCGACGAATGCGAGCCATCGGTAAAAACACCATGCGTCAGTAAAACCACATGCGAAACTAATGGCAAATGTATCCACAATCTACAACCTCGGCTTGGGCTCTGGGCGGAGCACTCCCATCAACAAATAAGTTGGCTATCGACATCATCACTTCCACCTCCGGATGTCTGTAGTGCTCCTTGGTTTATGAACATTTCCCGAGAGCTCGGACTTCCGAAACGTCATAAATCACCCAGGCGGGCCCTTTTCAAAGACGGAGATGCAAACTTTGTCCGAGAACTAAATTCCTTATTCCGAACCATTTGGAATACTCAATCCATTGCATCCGCATGGAGTTTGGCGGAAGTCGTAACTGTTTTCAAGAAGGGCTTCCGCCACGATTGCTCCAATCACCGAAGGATTAGTCTCATCTCCGTTGCATCCAAGATGTTAACGTTGTTGATCCTCCGCAGGGTCAGTTGGACGAGAGAATATCATATCCGCGAAGAACAAGCTGGATTCCGCCCTAGCCGGAGTGGCGTTGATCACATATTTACGCTACGCCAGATCTTTGAGCAACGTCAAACGTTCAGTAGACCGACCATCATTGTGTTCTTGGACATACGTGCTGCGTTTGACTCAGTTGACAGAGCAGCTCTTTGGATTTGTCTGTTAGGAAGCGGTGTGCCTGAGGAGTATGTAAACCTTCTCAAAGCCGTCTACTTAAACACATCAGACCGCGTCAAGGTCTATGATCGCATCTTCCCTTAATTTATCGTCACAAGCGGAGTTCGACAACGGTACTCGGCTTCGTCATTCCTACAAAATTTCGCAATAGACAAAATCCTAAGCAGCGCTTTAAAAAACTGCAGAGCTTCCGGTGTGGAGCTCTTCCCAGGCGATCGACTCCGTGACTTGGAATATGCTGACAACATCGTTTCACTCTGCGACTCCTTCCAGGACGCTCAAAACGTCATGTGTAAGTTAGCATTGTCGGTAACCGGCGTTAATGGCGCACTTGTTGCGGGACTCTTATTCGTTGACTCATATTTAAACCGGTTTCACATCTCTCTCCTCATATGTTGTAGCATATTACGTGTTATATATATAAAGTTTCAGTTTTTACAACCATTAACCATGCACTTTCGTGCGCGGGTTTTGGTTGGTCTTTTGGTTGCCCATTTGGATAAAAGAGCAAAAGGAAGATTGGAATGTCGAAGCAAATTCAAGCGGAAGATGGGGAATACATATAGTGTGTTAGGAAAATAACGAGTGGATGCACGAGCGCCACTGTTTGCGACACCCAGCCATATCACTGTGTCTCTAACCATCGGTGACCATCATCCC